TAGGCACTTTGCACAAACATCTGTAATTCTCTCACTCTGCAACTGTTCTTTTTATGATAAGCTTTAATTTTGTGTGTGGGTTGTAATTGAAAGAGGAGTGGACATAGGAGACAAGGATTGTATGATTTGATTTGCAGGCATATTCTCCTTTATAAAATAAGGAATTATTCTCATAAAATGATCACAACTGGAAATTATTCATTAGTATATTTTACCTTAGAAGAGATATGTGGAAAATTGTTTATGAGTTAAAAAAAAAACAACTACAGAACCAAAACCTATACTTAGTATTTTTATTTCTTAGGCTGCAGATCCAGAGCCTATGAATATTTAAATATCGATGTTTCTTTGACCCAGCAAAAATAACTGGAAAGAAGTTCACATAGTAGTGTATGAATAACATAATCAGACATTCTTGGTAAGTTTTCAATAAGCAATATATGCACAGACTTCTCCATAGTGTATATATAGGTTGATTTCAATATTTCTTCATATGTATGTTTGCACAATATCTAAATTCTACATTTGCATAATTCATATGCAAGCATGATTACCTTTCTGCCTTTTACAAATTCACATACAAGCAATTCAGATTCCATTAATTCATGAACAAAATCAAGCAAAACCTCTCCACCAAATGACTATTGCCAAGAAAAAAACGAGTTGGCAGGTAGAGTATTTTTCCCTCTACCAATAAAGTTAAAGTCACAAAAATAAATTGATAAATAAATGATAAAAAACATCAAATAGGCTGCAACCTTTACGAATTTTAATTCAACTTAACACATGTGGGGAACTCTGACCTGCATGCAAAAATTTCACTTTCAGAATTTGTCTTTTTATCTGTTTATCAGGCACCTCCAATTCTTTGACATGACATGGAGGTCAAGAGGGAAGAAAAGAAATACAAAGTCACACTTTTGTTCCAATACTTTCTAGGTTATGAATAGGTGCTTGGGGAATGGTTTCCCATTCTCTCTGTGGTAGATCCTACCCAAACCAGCAGCCAGATAGCCTCTGAAGTACACACAATGACAGTTCTCCTAAGGAGGGTTGGGAGACATGACATCATGATAGATTTCCCTTGACCATACACTGCACATTGTTCAGTGCATGGTGAAGGGGAAAAATGAGTCTTCCTCTCTACCAATGCTCCTTTTTAAACCATCAAATAGGGTCTCTCTGAGAAAAGCATAAATAAATTGCCTATTTTAAGCAGTATTCCCAAAAGAAATGTATGTTTTAATACTTGCATGTGTCTTGTCAAGCACTTCTTGAAACTGCCAAGTTTATGTTGTCTTCCTACAACCAGGCACATCTGCTTTCTTTGCAGATGGCAAAAAGGGCTTTTTAAATGACTCTCATCTAGGCTGAAGTCCAGCAGCTGGGTTCAGCTGTTAAAAAACTTGGATGTCAAATTAATTTTTAGGTGACATCTAATGTACTACATTCAGCTCGATCCCTATTTGGATATGCTCAAAGTTAGTAGAGAATAGTATTTCCTAAGTGATCATTTTTCAAACTATCTGCTAGCACTCTCAACTTAATTCAAGTAATGGGCACTGGCAGTTTCTGTGGAAAATGAAGAGGAAAAAGAGTAAGGGAAATCTCATTTTATCAAACAACCAACCAGACCAAGTATGTCAAACACATGCATTTTCATTTCACTAAAGAGAACAGGCTCAACAGAGCATTAAAGAACATATTACCACAGAGACAGGTCTATGCCAGCATATCAAATCAGGATACATCGAGGCTGCCCTTCTGATTTATGGGTCCCACAGCATCCTTCTGCCAAGGTTGAGTCCCATGATAAGAGAGGCAGATTAATTCTAAAGGCACATGTCATCTTTCATCTTATTCCCTACTTTCTAACAATTATAAATGAGATACCAATGTCTAAGCGATGATCAAATTAAGAGCTATAAATCCTGCCACATGGTCTGGATCAAAGCAAAACAACCCAATCAGGCATCCCAAGTTTCCTAAAATACAAAAATTATAATAGCTTATATGTATGACAGCACTTGGTCACCTTACCCCCAAGAGCAGCAAATCCTTATTTGACATCCCTAGCTTCTGTGCCATTTGTCCTTTAATTTACAGTGTTTGTTTTTACTGGCATTCCACATTTGTAAAATACCTTTGGTAACTTTCTGGGTGCCTAAGATCAGTCACTCATTTATTCATTTCACAAGAAAGAAATCTTCAGTTGCTTCAATTCTACAATATATGTATCTTGAGTTAATGTGAAATAAAAATAAATTACTAGTCAGAATTATTGTTGTGTTAAAAGTAGGAATCTGATGATAGTACTTCAATACCTAAACTATATTAAGTTGTGTGGCACCATCACCATGGAGAACTAAAGCTAAATAGCACAGATTTTAATTTCTTCAGACATTACAGCGGAAAGGCATTATTTCAAAACATTTTAGACAGTTAAAGGTCCTGGAGCACATGTGTGGGAGGAAAGTACCTCAGTGAGCATAATTATTTTCATTAGGGGACCAGGAGTAGACATGATCTTTTTAAAAACACTCCCTTTCACTGCCTCAAAAGTAGTTACAATAATAATGTGCTGTCTTTCATGTACCCAGATGACACTACTGACCTACAATCAGTAGGTTAAATGCTGTGAATTGTGCATCCAGAAGTGAAGATAGTCTTTTCATGGATTCACTGACATGCTCAGACCCAGTAACCCCTTGTGACCAGGAGCATGCATTTGTAAGGCCAAGGACTGTGGTAATGCATGCAGCCTGTCACCATGTAATTAAATGAAGCTACCCAGCCTACACAGGGATCAAAACTATGACATCAGCAATAGCCTAATTAGAAAACTAGCCACAGGTAAATAACTAGCCATCAAGGTACTTCATTAGTTTAGAAACACACAGAGGGTATAATTCCCCCCAAATTTTCATTCTAGTGGAAGCAGGAGGTGATCAGTTGTTTTATGAATGATCCCAAAATAAAATTTCAAACTTGCAGCTTCTTCCATAGGAAAGATAGGTCAGACCTACAAAACTGTGGCAAATCAGCATTCAGGAAGTAATCTGCAACTGGTTCATCCTCCCAGAGGCCATTTAGATGAAGGATTTTTAAAAAATGTGGCCCTCAGAACTCCACTGCGCAGCTTATTTAAACAAGCAATTAATAAGCTCCTTTTTTTTAATGTGCTGGTATTATATGTATTATGTTACATGTTGAGACCTTTAAGTATGGCACCATGCCTGTCCATGAGCTTCTCATGGACAGGCACATATATAAGCAGCTTGATAAAGATGCATAATAATAAAAGATGCTTTTTATTATGTTTTATTATATGAATCATAGGTTCACAGAAAGGAGGTTCTTAGAGGTTCACAGAAAGGAGGCTATCAGAGTTAGGCACATAGAATGGGAAACAGGATGGTTCCCTGAGGAGAAACAAAGGCATCTGGGGAAGAATGTTTAGCATGAACAAAGGCATGGGAGGTGGAATAGCATCTAAAATGTGGGAGCAGATGGGGATTCTAATAGTTTATAGTTAGGGTGTGAGCTAGGGATTTTTTTGGTAAAGGTTTTTGTTTTTTCTTTGTTGAGAAATAATTCATTTTCCCTATGATTTAATTTCATCGAGGGTGTTTTAAATATAGTTATTTTCTCTGATCTCCAAATGATGCTGAGTACACTTTTGCAGAAAGAAATAGGCAAGCATTATTACCAGGATTTTTTTAAAAGAGTAATTGCAGAAATTCATTGCATCAAGTGTGTACAGAACCTGTGAGGTGGTGCTGTGGAGAAATTTAAAAACTCTCTTCAAAAGAGCTAAAATTTGAAGAAGGGAGACAAACACAAATTACTTGATTATACTGGATAGATAATGACTGAGGAGGGAAGTGGCCAAAGTGAGCATTCAAAACTTGAGCTTTGGTCTTCAGATGCTAGGAGAGGTAAAACTAATATTAAATAATATGTCAACAGTCTGGACAATTGTGACAAATCCTATCTGCACTGGCTGACCATTCCAGATATCAGGCATGCAAATGACTGCCAGAAAAATCCCTTATAATTAACTATGATTCAGAGATAGAATAATAGAACATCATCAAAGTTTCCAAATATCATTTTAGAGAAATTAACAAAAGTGGTATATTCACACAATGAACTATTATTTACTCATAAAAAAGAATGAAATATTGAAACATGCCACAACATGGATGACTGTTAAAAACAGGTCAGTGAAAGAAGTCAAACACAAAAGGCCACAAATTGTATGATGTGGAAGGGTTGAGGGGAAACTGAGGAATAACTGATTAAAGTGGTACAGAATTTCTTTTGGGGGAACAAATGGTTTCTCAAATTAGTTTGTGGCAATGATTGCACAACTCTTCAAATATACTAAAGTGTTAGAAGGGTGCATTGTATAGTATATAAATTGTGTCATAGCAAAGCTGCTATTTTTTAAAAGTTATTTTAGATCGCTTCAGCATAACCTACACACCCAAAAGCAGCTTTCCCTGTAGTCTACTTTTTTGTCTATAGATCTCATCTGCTTTTCCCTCCCTGCCCCCCAAATAGTTTGATTTAAAAAAAATTACCTAAAAAATGCAATGAGCAAGTGGTCATTTATACATGTGGCCTCCATTCTGAAAGAAACAGGTTTAACAGAACATGGAAGAGATAGGAACGGAAGCAAACAAGAGTAGGAGTTACTGTTGGACTTAGCAAGTTTCTTTTGGCGGGCTATTGTGCTAGGGCAAGAAAACCAGGCTTGGAAGCAAGCTGGTTTCTAGCAGATAAAGTTATTGTAAAACCAGGAAGTCTCTGTACTGCCCATTTTAAACTTCAGACCACTCACTCCCATGGCCCTACGTCACTACGTCGTGTTCCATCATCTCTGTCAACTCCCATACTCCCCTTCTCTGACAGTTAAGCCTCCGCCATGTTTTTCTCCTTTCATTGCCTAGCAACCAGGCGTTTGTTCTTCAGTGGACGCCTCTAACAACTTCACAATGAACAAACTCGATGAATTCAAGCAATTCCGTGAGGGGTCCAGAATCGAGGCCACAAAGACTCAACAAGATGCCTGTAAAATGTTCATTGGGGGAATACCTCTTGAGACAAGTAAGCAATCTCTTTTTGAATATCTGGCTCAATTTGGCGAGATTATAGATCTTACTATTAAAACCGACCAAAAATCTGGACTGTCCAGAGGGTTCGGATTTGTGCTTTTCAAAGATAATGCCACTGTTGAAAAGGTGCTCCAAGTAAAAGAGCACAAACTGGATGGCAAGATAATTGAACTTAAAAGAGCTAAAGCCGTGGAATTGAAATTTACTTCAAATAAGATTTTTGTGGGTGGGGTAAACCCTCACCTATCTGAAGAGAAAATCAGAGAGTACTTTCAGTTATTTGGAGTGATTGAAAATATTGAGCTTCCAGTGTGTCAAGAAACAAATGAAAGACGATCTTTTTGTTTTATCACGTATGCTAATGAACAACCAGTAAGGAGGCTGCTACAAACCAGATACCGTCTAATTGGCTCTCGGTGGTGTGAAATTAAACTCGCACACCCAAAAGAATGTGAGAAACCACAGCACAGCAGAGGAAGACAGGTTTCATTTAACAGGCTAGGAAACCGCTGGGGAGAAAGAGGCTTTGCTGAAAACCCAGATGCTTGTGGTGCAAACCCAAATGTTTATGTGGCAAACCGTAATGCTTATGGGGCAAACCCAAATGACGGTGCAAACCCAAATGCTTATGTGGCAAACCCTAATGCTTATTGGGCAAACCCTAATGCTTACGGGGCAAACCCAAATGTTTACATGACAAATCCTAGTGTTTATTGGGCAAACCCTAATGCTTACGGGGCAAACCCAAATGTTTACATGACAAACCCTAATGCTTACGGGGCAAACCCAAATGTTTACATGACAAATCCTAATGCTTATGGGGCAAACCCAAATGATTACATGACAAACCCTAATGCTTATTGGGCAAACCCTAACGCTTATGGGGCAAACCCAAATGCTTACATGGCAAACCTTAATGCTTATGGGGCAACCCCATATGGCAGTGGTGCAAACCCAACTGTTTATGTGGCAAACCCTAATGCTTATGGTGCAAACCCAAATGGCAGCAGAGCAAATACAGATGTTTACATACATGCCAAACCTAAATGTTTTTACAAATCCTAATGTTTATGGTGCAACCTCTAATGCTTGTGAAGCAAACCAAAATGTTTGTGGGGCAGCTGAAGGCAATGGAAGAACTTCTATGGTGCTTGTGTCTGCACCCTTTACAGTCTGCAACAACAGCTTTAATTTTTCTGATCAAATGTATGGCAATTCCCATACTGGCCAGCCAGTTTCTAATGCCTATGGTGGACAGTATTTTCTTGACTATAACTATGGGACTCCTGTGTTTGGGACTGTGTTTACTAATTACAACATGTCAACAAACAACGCGGCTTCCTTTGATAAAGGTCACCAGGGAACTTTTCAGCCATTTTGAAGACTGAGTCATGATGCCACCATTGAGGAAACAAGCTGTCCTCAAATGAAAAGTTACATTACTGACAAGAAATGACTGAATGACTGCTTTTTAAGGACATGGTCACTATTTCTTCTTCAATTGTTTCTAGCTGTTTATAAAAACCAGTTATTTTCCCAAGACTTTTGACACTGTAGCAACAAGAAGATAACGCAAGGATTTGAGATTTTTGTTTTATGTATGTTAATGTTTTTTTCAAAAATAAATATTCCCTAGTTTTACCTTCAAAGTCTGTAGTGGCTTCTATTTCAGGTTGGTGTTTTTGTTTATTTTGGTTGTTTTGGTGAGTGAGGTGGGGGAATTTTTGGTCGGTTATGGGCTTTCTGTTTTTGTTTTTGGTCCAGAGTAGTGTATTTGAATTAGGACTATCATTCAGATTCATAGAAAGAGAATTTAAAATTCTCCTATTAGATTTGGTATTCAACCAGCTCCTTCTTGCTTTAATTTCAACAACTAATAAGTTATTCTAAGCCAGAAACTGTGTTCAATGCAGGAGATTCAAAAATAATCAGTACCAGTCTTAAAAGAGGCAGAGGAAACCAAGAAATTCAACACAGTGTGGTAAGTCCTAAATAAGCCTTGGTGAAGGATGATGTGGTTCTATAGACATCAGGATTCTACACCAGGTCTTGGGAGGGAGCGATGGGGGATGTTGTACAGTGTGTAGGCCTTTACCAATGGACTGGGCTAAGAAGAGAGGACTGTAAGAAAGAATATGCCAAGCAGACATGCAAAGGTATTGAAACAAATTTAGTATGCATTTTTGGAAGCAAGCAGAGAGACTTTTTAAGGGTGGAAATAAAGCACATGTGGAAAATAAGGGAAAGGAGGTGGGAAGGGGACTGAGCACCTCTGTCAACAAAATATAATGAGTCATAAATGCAAGCCACACAAAATTTAAAAATTTCTAGTAACGACATTTTTTAAAAAAAGCAAAAAAAGGTGAAATTCATTTTAATAACAAACTTAATTTAACCGAAGTAACATTTCAACACTTAATCAAGATAACAATAATCATTGCTTTAATATTAAGCATCTCAGTCTGTTGTGTATTTTACAGCACATCTCAGTTCAGACTGGTTACATTTTGAGTGCTCAATACATGTGAAAGTGGCTATCACATAGAAGAGTGCAGACTTAAATCACAAAGGTCTGCATTACCATGCTAAGGGATTGAATTCTATCTTTAAGACAATAAGGAGAATTAAAGCATTTAAAACAGGAAGTGACATGAAATAGCAAACTTTTAGTACATGCCTAACACTGAGTTCCATGTTAGGATTCGAAAATCAGTGAGACCCGTCTCTTGCCTTCAGAAAAGACACTGTCAGGAAGGAAAGACAGACAAGGAACTAAGATTCTGGTGGGACTAAATTTACAATCTGAGGAGGAAGTCAGTTGTACTTTCCCTTATTACAATGCAAATATCCTGAGGCTAATAAATATTTCATTCTTTCATGTATTCTCATTAGCAACTAGCAAGGGCTCTTGCACATAGTAGGAACTTAAAAACAAATACTGAATGATAAGGATCAAAACTGGTAGGTATATATACCATTATGAATAAGAGAAAGAAACAAGAGAAGGCAACATAAAGAAAACATGAGGTAATTCTTTTTATTTGTAGTAGAAAACGGTAGTTGTTTTAATATCTGAGTAAGTTGTATGGCTTTCATGGCAGGGGAGTTTTAAAAATATAATACATAAATATGTTAAAAAGATGGGGATTGATTGGAATAGATGTGAAACTGCTTTTAAAAGGTAAAATGTACAGAAATGAGGTGTTACACACACACATACACACACACACACACACACACACACACACACACACACACATACCAAAATAGGCTTGCAGTAGAGATTTTGATGCTTACTGTCCTTTTGGACTAAAGTATATTATACTGAAACTCAGTTTGAAAATATGAGGGACTCAATCAACTGAGCTAATTTAAATATTATTCCACATAATCTTTTCTTATTAGAAAACAATAAAACTATGTTGCTATGTACACAAAGTAAAAGAGAATCCCCAGGTAAACTAACAAGAAAATTCATAAAACTAAACGGTGTTTTGCAATAGTTAGTGAGGTTTAACTAATGAGTATATCTATATATATTTATGACAAAGGACAAATACACAGATTCATCCCACAGAAAGTATTTAGGAGTTGGCTTTTATTTACCAGAGTTAAATAGATGAAGCTAGGTGATTTTTGATTAAGAGCTACTGTTCCTGCTCCCTCTCGAATTAACTTGTCTATTGAGTCGGACAAAATATAGCTATATCCACATTTGGCTGGCTGAACGAAGAAATTAAACTAAATAAACCTTCAGCCAATTCAGAATCAGTGTAGCAGATGTACTAATATTTCAGTTTTGCTCTGTACTGATATCTTAAGTTTTAGAAACTATTTATTCTTTCCAATTCCAGCTGGTTCATTTGTTGATTTGGTTTACAAAAAATTCAGTAGGAAAAAAGTAGGGGTTAGTTCCTATTTCAGCATATTAGATAAGTTCAACAAATTAGCTTAAATTACTAATTTTTATTTGTGAGTGGGGCTCGTAGTAAGTTTATGTATCTTATTTTGGCATTATTTTAATTATGAGAAATTAGGTTATGCAATGTTGTCAAAGTTATCTTAAATTAACTGTTTCTAATCACAGTGGTCCAATTAACCCTCAGACAGCTACACGTGGGTTTATGTATATGTATGTGTTTAGATGCTGCCTAAAAAAAAAGTTGTGAAAGTACAGGTTCAAAAGGCTTTGTTACTCTTAAGAAGATGGTGGCTGGGGTCATATTTTCATTTATATTGTCATGAGGTCTGGATTGACCATAGAAATGCCTATGTAGTAATAATTATATGCCTTACTTGCTGACCAAAATTGAAAGAGTCCAGTTTAATTTTCTGACATTAGAAATGGATATTCTAGTAAGACTAGTTATTAGTCAACTTTTTGCTTCTCAGAGTTTGTGTACTGTTGGTATCTATATCTTCATATCTAGAGACACTAGATTACTGAGAATAGCAAAGGCCGTTAAAGAGTTAGAAAATAGGATTCATAAGAAAAGATTTTAAGGGAGCTGTGTTGTTATGGACAAAAGTGCCTGATAATAATTAAATACAACATTTTGAACTACTGATAAAAAAAAAAAAAGAGCAGGGCTGGATGGCAGTTTTGAAGGCGAGTCAAGCTTGAGTGTAAAGTTTTGTTTTCAGGAAAAGACTTAAAATTATGTCATGATAATATAATTAATTCCAAATACACATTATCTATAGACTTACTGGAATCCCCATTTTTTAATATACTTAGAAATAGAACTCCACCAAATCTGATTTGCTTTGCTCTAAATCCATGGTTCTCAAGCCTGGCTTGTCATAAGAATCCTTTAGAAGGCACAGGGAGAAAAATGCCTGCACTCCACTATGCTTGGAAAATTTGAATCAATAGGCCTGGTTTGGGACCATGAATCTATCTTGTAAAGCTCCTCAGGTGGATTCTAATAATGGGTCCGATAGGAGAACCATGGAGATAAGTAAATGGAAGTCCAAGACCAAGCTGCTGGCTGATTTCCTTTTCATAGATGGCTATATTTTTGCTGTTCTCACACAGGGGAAGGGATCTGAGGACTCTATTTTTTTTTTGAGAGGGCATCTCTCATATTTATTGATCAAATGGTTGTTAACCACAAAAAAATTCTGTATAGGGGACTCAATGCTCAATGCACAAACATTAATCCACCCCAAGCCTAATTCTCGTCAGTCTCCAATCTTCTGAAGCATAGCAAACAAATTCTTACATGGTGAACAAATTCTTACATAGTGAATAAGTTCTTACATGGTGAACAGTACAAGGGCAGTCATCACAGAAACTTTCAGTTTTGATCACGCATTATAAACTATAAACAATCAGGTCAAATATGAATATTCGTTTGATTTTTATACTTGATTTATATGTGAATCCCACATTTCTCCCTTATTATTATTATTATTTTTATTTTTAATAAAGTGCTGAAGTGGTAGGTAGGTGCAAAATAAAGGTAGTAAACATAGTTTAGTGTTGTAAGAGAGCAATTGTAGATGATCAGGTGTGTGCTTGTAGACTATGTGTTAATCTGAG